CTATGCGTACCTAGAGGGGTGTTTAAACGGATTTTAGCTTTCCCATCTAGATGTTCTTTTATGCGGACACAAAGTGGTCTACCCGTTTCCCCGATATATTCCTCGCCGCATGCATTACATGAGATCAAGTATATTATACCTAAACTCATGCAATCCCCGTCTCTCCCGTTAGGGCAGATCATACAGTTTTCTGAGCTGCACAAACGATCATAGAGACGGTTTCGAACTAACTGGCGGCGTAGGGTATTGGGTGGGATGTCAGCTTAAGAAGATCAGTTTATAAGATCTCATAAATAAATATAAGAATAGTGGATCGTTTTGCCCTCTTTTGCAAATTTACTATATCAAAATCTAATGTATATGTTTCCGCATTTGATCGCTTTATTCTGTGGGCAGAGACTGCTGTAATTTATCAAATTTGCTGGCTATTCCGTTACATCGTAATTTTATGAGATCTTTCGTTACACTGGAACACATTCGTAGAAGCAAAGGTTGTACGTGTTTTGCGTGGTCCCATTAATTTGAAGCCTACTGAAAGTAGAGGGAGCATCAAGCGAAGCATTATTTTTTACTTTACTTGACGATTATTTCTTGCTCTCCTTGCTCATCTGGAGGAATCAGATTAACGGTGTTCAACTTTTTTTGTTCAGTAGATTCGTCGGGAAAACAAAAAGTAAGAAAAGAAAACAAACAGAGGAAAACAAAAAAAAACAAAATGTATTCTTTCTTTGATGAGCTTACACGATGTTGATAATGATGTTTATTTTCGGCTAACGTTTCGACGTCTTCGTCTTCCTCAGAGCCGATGATCTAAGTCGATGGTCCTCCCTTGTTATTCGTCTCGACGTGGCAGCTTCGCCTTCGTGTCGAATCAGGCCTTCTTCAGTGAGCCATCTCCTTGAATGAGGCATCCTTACTCATTATATCCACCATCAGCATCGTGTATAAAAGGGAATTCTGACAAGAAGGCGTTTGAAATACCGCACGTTACAGTGAAGCGTGAGTTGTTGGAGACAAATTTCTCACTTTTTTAGAGTGAAACACTGACTGCAAACCCGCACGTTGTGCGATCTCCGAGTCACAGTGCACACCGCTTTTTTGGCTATTCCCTTTTAATCGGAATACCCAAAGTTATTACGAGTGTACGACATGCCACCTGAGGTTGTGTCGAAGCCAAAATTTTGTAACAGCCTTTTTGTGGTTTGCATTGAGGAAAATATGCTGTTAGGATTAACTCAATACTGATAAGAGCATGCTTGACAAAACGTAGAAAATAGAGAAGGTTTTGGATGTGGATTGTTGTGTAATGCAATGTATCTTTTGATCTCTTTCTCTATTGCTCTCGACTAACTCTAGTTGGAGCTTTGGTAACTCAGTGGGTAGCACCACATTCTTAAACTGCGTGCTGGATCTTCGATTTTCTCGTCGAGCTTACTTTTTGATGTTGTCTTGCCACACATATTCTACCAAAAAAAGCAAAACGGAACAAAGACAACTCTCTTGCCTTCCATTCGATGGTGCTGTTAGCTCTGTTGTCTCATTCTGCAGAGCAAGCCTTATCCTAAGATGTGGCCACTACCGAGGCCTGTTTACATCTCGTTAATCATCTTGCTTATGGGAGACCGGCGACTATGATAGGCAACTCTATATCAGATAGTAGTGCGACATTGCGCAACAGTCTGACACCATATTTGCTTCAAATACTATTTCCACTGATGCAATATGTACTTATATTCAGAACACACCTACACACTTTGCAGTTTGTCCTGCCTTTTTTTGATAAGCCTGCAAGTGGTTGCAACTACTAATTGTTATAGCTACGGTTCAGGCGGTTTTGCCTTCATCAAAACCAATATTGGCGTTCCATGCTGACTGCAGTTGTTTCCTCTTTCCAAGTCGGTCTTTATAACCATGGATTCCTGTTGTGCCGCATTCTACTCCATCCATCTGGATGTTACGGACGCGAAGATCAACATTACAAGAAAGAACAGATACTTTCGAAACTCGACCCGATTCACCATGGTTCGGATAAAGGCAAAGGTAAAGCTGTCGGAGTTTATCAATCATTGAGGGATGCGCAATGCATTCGACTTCATTAAGCATTGTTTGTAGATGACTGAATGCATATCCGGCCTTTACAATAACTCGCTGTTGCCTACCGGCCAGAATTGATATCCTCCCAGACAAGTCTGGTACCAATTTGCTGACAATGGAGGGATGGAAGGCTTGGTGGACCATGGGCACGGGAATCGATTCCACATGTGTTGCAGGGCGCCTCCGACCTCTGCGCCACACACGCATTTAATTAATACGTCCGAAAACCAACACTTTCAGTTTTACAATAATTTCACTGACCAATGGGTATATTTGAAAAATGTTATTGTTCATCTCACAAAATTTACATCAGTTAGATCGCTAAGGTTACCACAGACAAATCAGTGTAAGAAATGTTTCAATATCAACATAGAAAAACGGAAAATAAGACACTGAAACGCACACCCTACAAATAGCGTCCGAGCGGAAAACAAAAACGAATACTGAGAAAGCGATGGCGGAAAGAAGTGAAATCGATTAGAATAAGTTGCTCACAGCGCTCGTCGATCGATGCTATCAATGATAACGACCGCCAATTATTACCACCAACCAATTATTGATTTGTGGACCGATACGCTCGTGTATCACATATAACATCTCTACATGGTCAATTGGTAACTATCACTACAGTAAACAAAGCTGCATTGTACAACAAAGGTTACCGCAAACGATACTGGACAGTTCCAATAATTTAATAAACCAATAATAACACATTTTACATTTTTGGAGCGTTACGTGCACACTCACACGCGCATATATGAGTGACTAACTGGATTTGTTGTACAAAGAATGAAGAAATTATAGTCAAAAAATATGATCGATTATCGATTTTACAAATAACAATACCACTGATATAAATGTCAAAAAAAGAATGAGCAATGTTTCTAACTGCATGCATGGTACCCAAGGGCATCTGATGACGTCAAACGCTTCGCTGACGGCACACTGGGCGAAACTTGCCTGCCGAGCTCCGCCTTGAATCAACAACAAAATCATCGGCGTTGTTGTGTAAATATAGAAATGTCTGGTTAAATCCTACGGCGAAACCCAGGAGTATAAGAGTGGATAATCGATAGAACATGTACTAACTGATAAAAACAAAACTTCACATATTACAACCGTATTATTTAGCAACAAGACGCATGAGTACACATTCAGATATAAATCTCTATCTTATCAACTTTCTGAAATCAATCGATAATGGTAAATCGAATACACACTGAAGAAAACCTCAGCACATCAGAAAGCGATCTCCTCTTGACTAGAGAGTGAGACAAGCTTAGGAGAATGAAATATCATCACAGATGGAATAGGGCATATAGAAAAAGAGGTGAGATAGAATTAGGATAAGAAGATTGAGAAGAAGTTACAGAGTAATAAAAGATATAATCACAGTGCATGAGTAGGTTGAAAGAAACAGCCCAGCTAACAAATCACACAACAACACGGCTTCTTGCCGCGTTGCGCTGCATCCCCATTTGGCCGTAAATCTTGGATTTCTGGAGGATGTTTGCCTAAAACGAAACGAAAAATCAACGAATCGCTGCAAAACCATACAATCACAGTGAATTTGCGTTGAACAATATACTACGTGACCGCTTATCTTCTATATTTCCTTCAAATTGCAACACCATGATAACTATAAAAAAGCAGACCGACAGACACTAAACAGCGAATGGAATGAGTTACGACTTCACAGCGATTCATTCCCGTTCAATTAGCCATTTATGAACTGATCTTGTTAAGCTGATGCGAAGTAGGCATAGTTTTTTTCGGCGATTTCGCCTTCCTCAGAGCCGTGCTGTTACGACTGGGACTCCACTCCAGTGAGTGAGGGAGTGACGAAGGCGAAATCGCCGAAACGTCAGCCATCGACCAACAACACCGACAGCAACGACAACGAAGACCTATACCAACTTCGCATCAGCTCAACAAAATCAGTTTACAATACCATATAAATAAATGTATCAATTATTTATGTCGAAGTTCACAGAAAGTCGATCTTTTGAACAATTAGCCACTATTATCACCACAATACTTAGTCCTTCTACCCCTTTTTCATCATTTTATATTTATATTATCAAATCATTTCAAGGATTCCGCCCTGAATGCTAAAGAACACTGCAGGAGCATCCACTTCTACTGACGCATTTTCAGAAAAGTGAATATGTGAACTACTCCCAACGGTTTACCGCCTTATCGCAGCTGGGAGGTGTTCCTGGGTGTCGGACTGCGATGTGCAGCGGGAAATTCATCCCCTGGCGGGGTCTCCCAAATTGAGGAGTCCGGCGTTTCCATCAGGAACCCTAGCTAAGAGTAAACCAATACCAGAACCCACCACCGTCCTGGTACCAAAGTCGCATAGTGGCAAATCTTCCTCTGATCCACAAGGGCTACGACTGCCTTTGCTGGTGAAGACCTGGGGCAGACTTTGGCCAGGCTGACCTGGGAATTCCAGGGAGTCACAATGGCTTAACCAGCAAATCTCGGAAAAATGAAGATTATGCTGGGGCCTGCACAACCAGTGAGGACAGGCCATTCAAGTGTCAAATGTTAAGAATATGGGAACTACAACTTGCATCGATGTCCATTCCTTCCCTTCTTTACGGCAAAAAAAACCACAGCACTTCATTGAAAAAACTTCCAGATTCAGTTTTCATCACTTATTAACGAAATTGAGAATGTTCTAAAGAGCTTACACCAAATAACTCACTTTTGGAATCTTTTTTCGGTCGCCGTCGTTGGCTACCACCGCGTCTTGGGGTGCTTTCATCGTCATCGTCGCCACCTGTCTCCAACTTTCGAAGCCATTCATCAGGACTCATGGGCTTGGGCTTATTACTCTGCTAAAATATAGCATTGCATCACTGCTGAATACGAATATGTGCGCCAATTATTGTGACACGACTGCTTTTTGCCCAAGTTTTGCCAACATCATTTACAACTGTATGCAAAGAAATCAGATTTACATCCTCATTAATTCTTATTGATAACAGCTTCCACCAAAATATAATACTTATTTGTGGCGAAGGAAAGCTACAGTTACATATGATGTGCTCAGACATGTGCTGTGCAATGCTCGCATGGACTCAGGATCCACGTTGGCTCGGCCCAGAAAGCGCCGACTCTCTTTGGCAAGGACCAGGAAATGCTTTGGTTGAGCTGTCCCATAATTCTAGAGAGAACCAACTCGTTCGAAAAGCATTCAGCAACATTAAATTACGAAGAAAAGATCCACTTGCAACAGCCATACACGAGCGCAAATCCGAAAAACTTGGTGGATAATGGATGCGACAAGGAAACGAATTTTAAAAAAAGTGTCGAGATCCGCAATGATATATAAAGTGAGGTCATATACATAGTATTTCACGTTTTATGAATTGCTTACGAATTTTTACGAACTCCTTATGAAGCTTTAATGTTGTTGGAAAGTAATACATTGATATTTGTTTATCTTTTATCAAAAACGCTAGGCAAATAAATAAGAACGATTGACTCGAAAGGCTATGGGCGGAAGACTATGTATGGCAAGAACATCAGAAACGGCGGTTAAGTGAAGCATCAGTCTAGGTCCCTTCATAATAAGCCCAAAGGTTCCAAGTGAAAGCTGGTCGACGTATTGGTATAACAATGAGGGAGACGAGAAGGGGTAGCGGAGTGCTCAGTGATGCACTCCATCAAAAAGAAGGGTCCAGGCCTGGCCCCTCACCAATGCTCTCCTCCAATCTACGTAGGAACACTCTAGCTCGGCTATCTCCAAGATCGCAAGAAGAACCGATTTGACCAGCATTAATAAGATGAAACACTCAATCAGCAACCGAAATAAAACGCGAAGTCTTCGAAAAGCTTCGTGAACAACGAACGCGAGGAAAACGAATCGAATGCAAGTGTTGGGATGAGTACAGTATGTGTAATGATCGCTCGTATAATAACTTTAACAACAATAACAATAATAACAGTAACAATGATAACAACAGTGATAATGAGCGAGACAATCTAAATTATCGATGGCTTACGACTGAACAGAGTGTTCATGCTTTAACTGAACTGCTGTTTGAAATTCCATGTTTCCGTTGAAAAAAAACCTTAATCTGTCTTATGTCAAAAAAAACTGAAGGAATATAAATATTACCGAAGAGGTGATTGACTGCGTGTAACGACGTTATTAGATGTGTACGCAATACACCCAGGGAAGATGATTCTATCCCGTACTCCAAGTAAACAAAGCCCCTTATTGGTCCATGGTCGGCATGCTGGTACGAGACCCGTCTGGGGGATAAAAAAAAACTAACTTGATCCATCGGTAGCCCCCATGAAAAACTGTTTAGGTCAATATGCATCCAACCACAGCTACGATACTTGATGAAGTCGAATGCCAGGAGCATCGCTCTCAGGGATTGGTCAAGATCAAACGTTTTAACCTTTTGACGATTAGCTAGACATATTTTGAAGAATCATGTACTTCAAAGTCATCACCTAAAGGTGATCTGGGAAACGAAAATTTCTTTCCCTCTGGTAGTTCTCATAAACTGCTTGTAATGTGGTCCATGAAATAATGTAATAATGACGTTCGGAAAGCTAATTGATGCTAAAAAGCAAGCTCAGAATACCATTTACCTTTAGTACCCGCTTATTTGGCGAATCTCGGTTGCCGTGTAGGGACGGTTGTGATGCATTGACTTCTGATGAAACGTCTTCCTTCGACCACGACCTAAAAAACCAATAATTGAGCAGCCGATAGTTATCAAATAGCGGCTGTTTTCCATTTGTTCCCGTTCTCACCATACCTTATAGCCTCTTTGAATCTAGCAATAACGCCTAACACATTGACGATAGTATGAGTTAAATGACGCACAGATATGCCTTATCGACTTAATAGCACGAATAGGTCAACACTTACTCAACTCTACGGGCGAAGATTAAAGAATGGGACAAACGCACAAGCCATGAAGTGCTAAACGAAACGTTGAAACTCCAAAGTGGGAATGGAATATCTGGGAAACCTCGGGCTCATGTAGAGGTACCACTAAAGCGTGGATCTCTCTGTCACTGTGTGCGTTGATCACATCTGGGAAAACGAAACACCCATTTGGTTCACAATATGCTACCGTTGCCTATGAGAGAGACCTTATAACACTGATAGCATGCAACCCAATTATTCTGAAACCTTAATTGATCACTTGATTCATCATAATATGCGTAGCGATTACAATACTACGCTCATCAGACCCACTCATGGTCAACACGGAAATGTGCAACGGTAGAAAAATGTTACTCAACCTGGAAATGTCCACCAAGTGTTCATAGCATGGTACTGCTTACCAAAAGAAAGTATAGATGCAAGTCTTAAACGATATAATTTGCTTCATAGTTCAAGAACAAGATGATAACCTCGGCAATCCATCTTGGTAAGAATATGATGTCATGAAATATGATGGTGTGAAATTTCTCGTATAACTGCTCATAACTCACTTCCTTCCGAGATCATATCTACAGCGTTCTTTAATAATAGCTAGTTTAATACCGATTACTGCAAGATGTCCGTTGAAAAAAAAATTATCAACGGATGATCATTATCAACAACAACTATCCTATATAAAAAAGCGCTGCCGGATGAGGTTGCCTCATTCGAACAATGCTCCACTGAAGAACATTCGACTCGATACGATGATAAACACACTACATCGAGAAGATGAAAGGCTGTAGACATCGACTCGGATTATCGGCTCTGAGGAAGACGAATACGTCGAAACGTTAGCCGAATAAATTTTTGGTAACAATCTCGAGCTAGCTTACCAATGAAAGAAAGTACACATCTATAGCGTTGAAAAAAAGCAACATATAAAACATTGAGCTAGAAGAGTTCACAAATTGCAAGAGATTTCCAGGACTATCAAGAACAAGCATTTCCAGAAGCAAAAAGAGCTTGAAGAATACCAAAGTATAACAACAATAGAAAAAAGAACTTCGCGCGCACTAACATCTTCTGGCATTTCAGTTCTTTTGCCTTTAGCCACACAAAAAAGTGAGCAGTCTCCAGTAATAACGATCATGAGAACAAATAACGCACAGAACATGTGGTGATTTTTCACGTACACATGAAAATAGTTATCTGTGTAACTAGGTATGCTCTGAAGAACCCACCGTATGATGTCGGCGCCTTCCTTTTGCGCCTCAATCCTCGCCGGTGCTAAACCGCTGCGGTCACGGAGCGAGAGGCGCCGAATCGCACCCCGTGCCGAAAACGGATTGTCACCACCAGTGGCAACCTGCTGAGGTGATTCGAACTTCTTCCGCCTGAAAAATGGTGCTGCTAAATTGGAATAGTATGGAAAAAATATAAAGTCAAATAACGGTACCGCACCGCACCGTCACCGTAAAAAGACGAAAATTCAAAATGCTTCTAGTCATTATTCAAATAAAGTGGTTGTAGAATATCATTTTACAATGATCAGAAACCTAAAGAACATTTTGAAGACTAAAGTCATTTCAAATACTTAGCGAATCGGTAGCTGATTGACAAGTATGAAAAGTGTCGCGTACCGCCTGCTTTGTCGTCGAGAGTCGCGCACTCCAAACGCCATCCGCTTCTTCCGTGCTTCTTGTTGCTGCATGGTCGCTATGACAGCTCTAGTTGTTTCATCTTCGCAAAGGTCTTAAACAACTACTAGTTCCTGATTTATAGCACAAACCACCGTACATACAACACAAAACTAGACCGTTGGAAAACGCATCATGTTTATAAATTATTAAGTAATTCGAAATACAACCACAATAATGTAGAGATATTTGCAAAACAGGGGACTACAGGTGGCTGCGGTTGGGAACGAACGCGCTATTACCCTTTTCGGAAGCTAGCGCGTTCACCACAACACCATGTTTTCGCCTATCTCTCAGCTAGTTTTCCATCGATCAGTGCCATCACCAATCATCTGTCAACGGAATCTGGGCAGTCCAAATCGGCATTGAACCCAGTTAAGCTGAAGCTGGAGTTGAAATCACAATGTTAACTCTTGTTGACGGGTGATTGCTGATGGCAGTGGTAGAAAGGAAACAAATAAAAAGTTGGCATCATTATCAATTATTATCAATTATTAAGCGGAAAACTAAGATTTATATTGGTTGTTATGAATGCCCAGCGGTTTCTAACCAAGTTCAAGCATAAATCTCTGCTCAGAGTCGAGATTGTAAATCCAAATAAAAATCACTATAATCTTAATATATTTACGAAAAATGTACAGATGCGGGTACTCAAAAACGAGAATTTAAAATTCTAGTCTTTAGGAGCCAATAAATTTTCTAAACATATATGACATGTCGACATGGGTACTGAAGATTACTTCCCATCAAATAAGTGCTTCAAAAACTGTTACGTGGTCAGTGAGTGATCTGGCCAATACGTTAGATAAGGGGCTAGTATCCGAACTCTTTCCATTTTCCTCAGTTGGTAGTTCAACGATGTATGATCAGTTTTTGTCGCGCAACAGAACTGATGGGATACCTCGTAGCTCTCTATTTGTCTCGTCGGTTTCCTGTCAACATTTCTTTGTTGCAACCATTTTGCGACGAATCCGAAGGTGTCATGTCCGAAGCATGCGAAAGTCTTAATAATATTCTGGTGTAATCCAGTTTGCATGGTGTGCGAAGCGAATTGGTTAGGGACCGTGTGCGATACACTCATTGCTGTTCAGCCGACTTATTTGGGAAATGCTTCCTCCGGTCCATAAGAGAGAAGTCTACTTCTGCGGTGAAGATGACGCTCAGGTCGAACTACCTCAACATTCCAAGAAGGACGAAGTCTACCAGCGCTTACCAAATTCACGAGGAAAACAAAATTCTCAGACAGCGTTCGAACTCACACGCAAATCTAAAGAACTTCGTCGACGTCAAATGCAAGACAATTAACTAAGAGAAAGAAGATCTGGAATTCACATAAAACTTAAAGATGGATCATGGAAACAAAATAGATCAAAAATATTTGCTGAGATATTTGCGAAACTCAGAAGCCAGGCCAGATTCGAACCCGCGACTACCCTTTGGCAGTAAGTCCCAGAAAAGGTAATTGCGGTTCTAATGTGGCCTACGGTCCGAGTTTTGCAAATATCTCAGCATCACTGTCGCTGTACTTCACAAAATACCTGCCATGGAAAATAATTAAGGACTTAAAGATGAACCTCTCAGCGTTCATCAATCGCTGAGGGATACACCATGCATTTGACTTCATTAACCATCATTAGAGGTGACTGAATGCATATTTGGGCTATAGAATGACTCGAGGTGACCTACCGATGTATCTGGCCTGTACTACTACTCTCCTAGACAAATTTAATATCAGTTTGCCTACACCGGAGAGATGATGGAAGGCTTGGTGAACCTGGGGCGCGAGATCGCATAAAAAGTTAAACATTGTGATTTCGACTGCAGCTTCAGCTTAACTGCGTTCAATGCTGATTTGTGCTCCGCGGACCATTACAGTTGATAGGTGATTACTGATGGGCCTATTAGAGTAAAAAACTGACTGAGAGAAAGTCAAAAATGCTTAGTTTAGAAGGGTTTTGGTGTTTCAACGTTGTCCACCCATTCCCTTAAGATCCTTGATTGTAGTAGAGTACTAAACCTTTGTATATCCTAAAGCGGCTGAGCATGGACTCCTTTTTTTAGAAGCAATGTATATAATATCATATTTGTTCAGCCGGCCGTCTAAGACAAACCTCAATTCCAAAGCTTCTTTCTCGATCATCAAACAATGGAAAGCAACGTTGTACAAAACGATGGTTAACGGTTCGAAGGCCAAGTACAGCGCCCCACAAGTAACACCAGTGATAAAAAAAATAAGTAACAATTTCGCAAAACGAAAAAGAAACAAACCTAGCGGAGTTTCGCCACTGCTCGTTTTTGCGTTGATGTCGCCTCCATATTCGCAAATGAGCTCAACGAGATCGGGTTGAGCCCAGCAAGCCGCGGCGTGCACTGGTTGCCAGAGATCATTATCACTACAAAAGAACTAAATGAAAATCAGTATTGTAAATGCGCCGTTTTCTTCCTCAGAAATCACGAGGTTGTTATCCAGCATATGTTTACATCCGTAAAAAATCACATGCAACACAACAGTAGCTAACGTTTCGGAAGCATCGCCTTCAGAGCTTGGAAGGGCGTACTGACAATTTACTACACTAAACGCTTAAATAACGCAGACAGAAATAGTAAAATCTATATAGTAATCAAATGATCAAAATCACAAGCAGTAAGAAAGAAAACGACGCGTTTCTAATCCCGTGCCGAAGTTAATAGAAACTCGATCCTGGGAAAACCATTACTATCCACAACAAACTTGAATACTTATGGAACGTTGTCATTCCAACGATGCATAAGAGAAACTGTTCCATTCCAAATACACTTTTTAAAAAAAAAGCACTCTTTTTACTTCTTTCGTACTCTTTTCATGCCTTAACATCAATAAATTCGCGAAGAACGTAATGTAACACCGCAAGATTTTCGTAATATGTAAAAATGTAAAGCTAGAGGTAAAAGTTCTCACCACTGTTGGTAAAGATTTGTCGACTACAATTGTTTTTCTATTCTCATTAATAAAGCTCACCGAAAGCTTAAAAATGTATACTTATGTCTGGAAAACTTAAATTATTCTCGGTCACATATGACTAGCGAGTGTAGTGCTGTGGTTAAAGGGGTCCTGTGATACACAGCGGCCGATGGCTTAATCTTGTGTGCCGGGCTCGCAAAGCCCTCCTTCAGTGCGGGGTCGACAAATTGGTACTAGACTTATTTGGAAGGATAGCAACACTGATTCGATACATCGGAGGCCAAATGCGAGTCATTGTATAGGCCAAATATGCATTCAATCATCTCTAACAATACTTGGTGCAGTCGAATGCATGGCGCATTTGATTGGTCAACACCGTGAGCTTTACCCTTTCATTATTTTTATTTTACCACTAATACCGTTGCAAATGTCATAAATCGCCTATGTTGAATGGGAATGAAAGCCACTCACTCACCGTGACATTGCAGGTACACCACACCGTAACAAAAATGCAGCGACGTCGTAGTAACCATTAGCGGCAGCAATGTGTAGCTAAACACACACGTCATTCCACACTGTTATTTGTTTAATTAAAAAATTGTTTAAATTATACAAAACCCATTATTATGGAAAATGTCCTTCCCAACGGTTTACCGCCTCATCGCCCTTAAGAGCTGTGTCTGGGTGTCGAGTTGCGATGTACAGTACAGAGAGGATTCATCCTCCCAGCAGGCTCTCCCAGGCTGAGAATAAGTCCGGCGTTTCTATCAGGAAGTCCAGCTAAGAGTACATCAAACTTATCGAATGGTGGCAAATCTCCCTCTGATTCACTTGGGCGGCGAATGCCTGTGGTGGTGACGACCTGGGGCAGATAATGACCAGGTTGGCCTCCGGACGCCGGGAAAAGACAATGGCCAAAGCAGCAAAACTCCGAAAAGTGGAGAATATGCTGGGGCCCGCAGAACCAGTGAGGACGGGTCGTCCAAGCATCCAAAAAAGTACTATGGAAAATGAGAAAATGTCCATATCAAATATTAGAACTCTGTTTACTATGAATAACATTATTATATACATAACACTAATAAAGTTGAAGTACTACACTACAACCTAAAGTAACACAAATGGAAACCGCAACACTTTCTCAGTTATATTACGTATTTGTATTAGTATACTAACCACTAACGAATACTTGGTAATTTGCACAAATAAAAGAGTTGAATAAGCAGAAACTTTACTTAGAAATCAATAATGCTTAACATACGTAAGTCGATCCGTCTGGCTGACGGGCATCAAGCGGATAACCTTGCTGGTGCAAGCTTTTCATGTCGTCCAACATTGCCTTCTCAGGTGCACCACGTTGATCGTCAATGTAAGCCTAAATCTATTAACAATAGAAAATCCACCATATTTCTAAAAATCTTCTCTCATCTCCTATGAAGACAATTCTTTCTAGAACAAAAACACATGGTTTATAAAAAACACAAGCTTTAGCAATATATAAATTAACGGAATTAATGGATGACTGGTATACCTGTGTGATGCCTCGCGCTGCCATCTCACTCTCAATGGCATCGAGTGTGGTCTCGTCGTCACAAATATCGTACGGCATGTTTCCGTCAGCGTTCACAGCCAAAAGGTTCGCACCACTATGAAAAGATATAAATAAAAAAAAGTAAAAAAATATGTCACATGATTTCTACACCCATCAATGTATAGATTTAAAATATCACCAAATATTATCGAATACAAAAACATTGAGAAAGTTTCCATCTATCCTGAACCATAATCACTTTACCAGTATCCACGTTCTATAAATGGCACATGCATTTATAAATAAGAGTTACAGCATAACATCCGAAAAACTATCTGAAAAGTTCGAAAATGGCAATGTTTGCCGTTATGAAATTTGTGCAAAAAAATTGTGATAAATACGTGCGTAGTGCAGGTAACGTAGTGCTACTGATAAATAACGAACGAAGCCCCGAACTGCCCTTCATGGGGCCAACAGATGTACCATCGCTTTATTGAATCGCGTTATTGAAGAATTATTACCCAACTATGTCTGGGCACAACTCGCCCCTTCCAATCCACAAAAGTTGGCTACTGTCTAGGATGAAGATCCAAGGACGCCCTAGCATCGCTACCATGGGATTCTAATTAGAATCAACTTAACCAGTTTTCAGAGGTATTCAGAAGACCCTTCAACCACGAGCCAACCCACACGCAAATCGGAAGATCATAGCGGAATCTGGATGAGAGGAAACGAATCGAATGCAAGAAGCGCTGGAACCAGAACAATATGTGATGTTGGATGGTGAAAAGTACAAACAAAAGATTGTTGCATATAATCCTTTATTCTCGGCTCATCTTCAGCTCATGGTGAGCATATGTAGGCGAGAATCGGTGCAGGCCCTCTAAAAATTACTCGAATGTATTTTATTATTGTACGAATATTATGTATGTACCTTGTATGTACTACCTTCATGTATCCATCTAAAAAGGTCTTCGCATTTGCGAATCAATCTGGCCACTGCTATAGCATTTTTGATCTTCTCTATCAAAGCCGTTCAATACTGATCAAGTAGATTCTAAATGGAACTCTGGAATTGCTGCGCTGGAGCGTTCCCACTTCTTTACCGGAAGCAGTCACCAATCACACTTTTTCGATTGCAGCGAGACTCCCAGAGAAGTGTGGCACCAATTTCTCGTGCTCGGAGAAATAGCAAGCTTATTTGGCCCAGTCTAGGTCGAAGTAGTGTTTTGTGCGTATAGAACGGAACCGCTACCACTGTGTTACTCCTAGCATATTTATTCAGCTTATTCATTGAAAATCTCCGATCTCATTTACACGACAGTATTTTACCAGACGTTGTGCAATTAAGGTTCGAAAAGTTGACCAACTACATCAACCATTCATACTCAAAAAAGCTCTTGCCAATCAACGAGCACATTTTGAACTGCGTCGACAATTACTTCCAAAGAAATCCTCAACAAACAACACGTTGCCAAAAAGGTCTTTGAAGAATTTCTCGCCTCCAGAGGTAAGCAACTTTGTTACAAGTTGGAATAATTAAGAATTGTTAACAAAATGTGTATTCTCTTCATGATAAGCTTACACGAAGCTGACAAATAATTTTTTATTCGGCTACTGCTTTGATGTTTGAAAAAAATGTATAGACTATAACGGTAGTCTTTACTGATGGTTAAAGAAAAGTCGATTCTCAAGACTGATTTTCTGTTAACCTCGGCACTGATTGATAATCTGATGCTCTTCTTCAATAAGCAGACACGAGGTTGTTATTATAGAATTTATTAGGATACAATAGTTAAAGTTTCAGCAGTTCCGCCTTCTTCAGAGCCTGGAAAGCTCAAATTGAGATGCGATCTACCCAGCCAAACACTTTCATAACCCTAGCAGATAAAACTTGACAATTCGATTTGCATTCGCATAAGAAACAGCTTCATTCAAACACCTACCGTTTATTTGTTTTAAGTATTTAAGTTAGTTGATGGATAGCAGCCGCACAGAGTAATACATGTAACTGTGATAACTGTAACTGTGTCAGGTCATTGGATTAGCCTGAGGTATGGCGTCAGGTCACGCGTGATGACAAGACACTCCTCCTTGCGGTTCATTTTTGAATTTTTGGAATTGATCCAAAACGCTTCAAGAGTTTTACGCGCTGATGTTTTCGATTCGTACGTGAGACTAGTGACTCCTACTTCAAAATCCTTTCCGTTGTGTTCCTGCATCCTATGCGCGCCTAGTGGAGTGTTTGGTTTTAATTTAGATTTACCGACTATGTGTTCTTTTATGCGGACGCAGAGCGGTCTACCCGTTTCGCCAACGTATTCGTCCCGCACGTTTTACAAGAGATCAGATAGACTGTGCCCGAACTTATGCAATCACAGTCTCTACCGTTAAAGTAAATTATGCAGTTTTTCGTTATACATAAACGGTCATATAGGCGGCTCCGAACTAGCTGGTATCTTATAGTGTCCGGTAGTATTTCTATCACTCTTGCGGAAATCTCTAGACCGGCCCTTATTAAGCAACGTTTTATAGCTGCACTTAGTTCGTCTGAAATAAAGAGGAACGGAGCTTTGTTTTCGCTAGAATTATCGCTCTGGTGCGTGGTTTTTCCTCTATGCCTATGCCGAGAAGCTACAGTTCCGTAACCATTTGAAATGGCTATTTGGTGCGCCAGTTTCGACGATTCCTCCCTCTGCCATTTATTGGGTGTTCCATACTACCTTATCAAGACCCAAAAGTTAATATCTGCTGAAGATCTGGCGTCTACCAACCCCTCCACCTTTAAAGTTACACCCATCATCAGTTGTGTAGACGGGCCTACGGATAGAATTGCTTGGTTTATAAATCTAATCCTCAACCAGTTGCTTAAGCACACACCAGCCCATTTCACGAACACCCAAATGTTCCCAGACCGTCTGCGCAACGCACGTCCCAAAAGCGCGTACGTTATGGAGTTGTTCGACGTGACCGCCCTTTACACTAACGTGTCGAACGACTCCGTAATGCAAGCCATCCGCAAGCTTCTCGAGCAACACGAAGAAGCAATTAACATGTATGGCTTTTCGATTCAGCAGCTTATGGTCCTCTTAAAGGTCTGCCTAAACTGCTCAATCCTCAGATGGTCCGGAAAATATTATGCACAAGTTAGAGAGTTGGCAATGGGACAAGGACTGGCAACAGCCCTTGCCGTTGCCCTTATGCCTAAAGTGGAAGCACCAGTAATCGATCTCAGGCCATTACTCTACTCTAAGTATATAGATAACTGTTTTGTCATCTGCTCCATACAAGAGGAAATGGACAAATGCTTTGAGTGATTGAACGAAAAGTCAGAGTATATAAAATTCACCCGCGAGTAACCGAAAGAAAACTGGCTTCCATTTCTAAACGTTCAGATCAACCTATCCGAAAACAGCTACATTACGAAATGGTATCGAAAGCCAAGTAATGAAAACATTTTGGTTCATAACCTCACCTCTCACCCCTTTCACACGAAAAGGGCGCTTGTAAGAAACATGTTTCAAACAGCAACCAACGTGTGCACAAGAAGAGAGCAGAGAGAGGAGTCCCGGAACTTCGCACGGCAAATATTCATTTCTAATGGCTACGAAACTGTAGCTCGGGATAGGTGTAGGGAAATCCTAGGCCCCCAAACGACAACTCCAGCGATAAAAAGGTCCCGTTTATCCTACTCTTCATCACAAATGATGTAAGTGAAGCTATAGAACACTGCTTAAGAAGGGCGGGTCAGGCGAATTCGGTAAACGTAGTTGAAATGCCACCGAGTAATCCTAGGCGCCAGATAGTTCGTAACGGCCTAAACGACCGTCTAAGTGCAACGCAAATTTGCATAATTACTAACGGGTGATTACATGAGTTCGGGTAAAAGCTATCTGATCCCTTGTAAAGCGTGCGGGGACGAATACGTTGGCGAAACGGGTAGACCGCTCTGCGTCCGCATAAGAGAACACCTAGTCGGTAAATCTAAATTAAAACCAAACACTCCACTACGCGCGCATAGGATGCAGGAACACAACGGAAAAGATTTTGAAGTAGGAGTCACTAGCCTCACGTACGAATCGAAAACATCAGCGCGTAAAACTCTTGAAGCGTTTTGGATCAATTCCAAAAATTCAAAAATGGACCGTGAGGAGTGCCTTGTCATCACGCTTGACCTTGAGCCTTACCTCAGCCTAATCCAATGGATTGACACGGACACAGTTATCGCCCATGTACTACTCTGTGCGGCTGCTATCCATCAACTAACTTAAATACTTACAACAAATAAACGGTAGGTGTTTGAATGAAGCTGTTTCTTATGCGAATGCAAATCGATTTGTCAAGTTTAATCTGCTAGGGTTATGAAAGTGTTTGGCTGGTTAGATCGCATCTCAATTTGAGCTTTCCAGGCTCTGAAGAAGGCGAAACCGCTGAAACGTCAGCCATTGCATCCTAATAAATTCTATAATAACAACCTCGTGTCTACTTATTAAAGAAAACATCTAAAAGTCGATTATTGAAACAATAAACTTTTCTACAGTGTTTGAAAGTTTCACTTAAAATCGGTCATTACTTCTGAAGCAGTTTGAAGCAAGTCAACAAACAGAAAAAAAATACTGTCTAAAATCTTCAAAACTTACTGCGCGATTAAGATTTTCACGACATTGATGTGCGCACAACACGCAGCTGCATGAAGCGGCGTCCACTGCTCAGTATCTTGAGCGTTTACATCTGCTCCATGACTCAACAACAACAACATGATCTAAAATAGCATTATATTAACTCCTACGACCGACTTTCTATTAACCTCGGCATTGATCAAGTAATTTTCTTCGCATTTTTGTTGAGCAAACGCGAGGTGTTATTATTCTTTGTTCACGATTAAGCTGACGTTTCGGCGGATTTCGCCTTCCTCAGAGCCTGGAAAGGTCATGTTGATAGCAATCTACTAGGCCAGACGCCTCCATAACCAAACAAAGGAACTCTAAACCAAGATTTCAATCACATTGAACACAGCTCTGCACACTCACCGCTTCCTATGAGGTTTCCACTAAGTATGTCACGTAGTGACCAACCACACAGAAATCACATGGAAGTATAATGTGACCCTCACATCAGAAAAGCAGTTTTATATACTGCCCTATATCACGCGTGGTAATGAGGCATTCTTCCTTGCGGTTCATTTTCGGATTTCTGGAATTAATCCAGAATGCCTCGAGAGTTTTTCGCGCCTGTGTTCTTGATTCGCGTGCTAGGATCGTGACACATACTTCAAAGTCCTCCCCGTTATGTCTCTGGGTCCTATACGTGCCTAACGAAGTATTTGGTCTATGTTTGCCGGCTAGGTGTTCTTTTATGCGGACACAGAGGGGTCTGCCCGTTTCGCCAATGTATTCGTCACCGCACGTCTTACAGGAGATCAGATAAACTATACCCGAGCTCATGCAATCACCGTATCTACCACTAGGGAAATTATGCAATTTTGAGTTGCACATAGACGGTTATATAGGCGGTTACGAACTAGCTGGCGCTTAAAATTACTCGGTGGCATTTCAACTACGTTAACCGAAATCGCCTGACCCGCCCTTCTTAAGCAGTGTTCTATAGCTTCACTTACATCATTTGTGATGAAGAGTAAGATAAACGGCACCATTCTATCGCTAGAGATGTTGTTTGGAGACCTAGGATTTCCCCTACACCTATCCTGAGCTACAATTTCGTAACCATTATAAATGGCTATTTGCTCTATCTAGGCCCCTAACCTGCAAGACGTGCGGTGACGAATACATTGGCGAAACGGGCAGACCCCTTTGTGTCCGCATAAAAGAACACCTAGCCGGCAAACATAGACCAAATACTTCGCTAGGCACGCATAGGACCCAGAGACATAACGGGGAGGACCTTGAAGTATGTGTCACGATCCTAGCACGCGAATCAAGAACACAGGCGCGAAAAACTCTCGAGGCATTCTGGATTAACTCCAGAAATCCGAAAATGAACCGCAGGGAAGAATGCCTCATTATCACGCGTGATATAGGGCAGTATATAAGACTGCTACTCTGATGGAAGGGGCACATTATGTTTCCATGTGATTTCTGTGCGGTTGGTCTCTGACATACTCGGTCTCGGTTGACATACTTAGTGGAAACCTCATAGGAAGCGGTGAGTGTGCAGAGCTGTGTTCAGTGTGATTGAAATCTTGGTTTAGAGTTTCTTTGTTTGGTTATGGAGGCGTCTGGCGAGTAGATAGCTATCAACTTTACCTTTCCAGGCTCTGAGGAAGGCGAAATCCGCCGAAACGTCAGCTTATTCGTGAATAAAGAATAATAACACTTCGCGTTTGCTCAACAAAAATACGAAGAATTAGCATTATATTAGTCCTGTTGATCGTCGAGTAACTCGAGTGGGCGCAATATATATATATATTTATTTATTTATTTATTTACCTATTTGATATTTAAATATGTGTATTTTCAACAAATAAGTAGAATACTTGGTCAGAAATGACTAGTCAGAGAAGGATATACGTGTATTAAAAAGTTATACAAGTTATTACTGCAGTTTTTGCTTGACTTTCTTGTGCAGTGTACATTTTGACTAATTTGGGTAAAACAATGTCTACATGGAACTTGCTAGGTTGTCCGTTTTCTTTTCTTTCATCACGAACACTTTGCTGCTTTGCTGCAACACAGAAAAATTTCCAGGGTAGAACGAGTCGTATAGGACCTAATAGACATTCCTGAGTTATGCAGTACTACTGGTATTTGCATAACAGCGATAGCTGACCTGCTGATTGTCATCGATGGCACACTGATGCAATGGCGTCAAACCGTCTTCGTTGTGCGAATTTGGATTCGCGCCCTCGCGAAGTAACCGCTCGACTGTAATTTTCGAAGTATAATGATAAAGAAAGTAGAAGAATCATTCTCCTAAACACGGACTTCTCAAGATCTTCAACCTCTATTAATTGTAATCTTAAACCACATTAAGTTTAACATGGGATATAGTTATTTCATGTTTCAGGAGTTAAAGACTGGAGCCCAATGCTCTACGACTGCGAATGAATGAGAGCATGACATGAACAGTTCGCTAATCACAAAGAAACTGTCGTCTTCTATACACATCGCGATCTCAGTGAAAACATATATCACATGCAGGAAACCAAACTCAGTCGATATTGTTGCATTCTAAGTAAGCTGACAAAATTGTTTTTTGAGCCTGCACCCTAGCTCTTGTGCTCGAACCTTTTCCATCGCTACTTTATACAGATGGTATTTACGCATACAGCTCAAAATGAGAAGCATCTTCCACATAACACAAACTCTGAGATGTCCTCTGGAGAAAAATCGCCACTCACAAGACTACGTTGAAGCTCATAGTTAAGAACTTCGAGAACTCCAGTTTTATAACGCATCGAAGCATACATGTGAAATGACGCAGATATAGGACAGAAGCGAGAAAATTTACAAAGTATACAAGAAGAACCAAGAAAGAATTGTTACTGGGACAACGTGAGCGTCGTCAAAAAAGACAACTGACGAAGTAGTCATGTGTGCTGACGTTGCACAGGTGAAGAAGTTGTTAGACATCAAAAATACAAGACACATTATACCCCTAAACATCGTAAGAGAGCTGAACGAACAGAAATTGAGCGGGATTTCATGTTCCCATTGAAGAATGGATGGATAGACCAGCTGTCAAGCAGGTTATTTGTAGTTGCAATCAGCAACGAGTTTAGGACGAACGACGGCGAATGCTTACCCTCAACAGCATCGGCTCGTCCCGTGGCTTCGAGTAGGGCGACCTCGGGCGAAAATCGCAATCGCTGGCGACGCGGTCTGGCCGGTGGTAGTGATCGGTCGCGCTCCTCCCACCTTCGCAGCTGCTCGCGACGACGTTCTCTGCAATCGGATCGACCAACTTCCTGAGCATTAATAATTTCATTTCTCTAATATTTTCCTAAAATATGGTGGATTTGAGACTATAGACGATCTCATTAATGCTGAACTAATATCATCCAATAGCACCCTTTCATGAGCAGATCCGTGGTTGTTAGCACGTATAGCACGTATTTTTGATGTTCGATGGCTAATGTTCCGACCACTTCACCTTTACAGCTATTAAGTATCGTTATGCAGCCTTCTCCTTACTATTCGGTAAATTATTCTTTCGCCGAGATTATGAAAGTACTGGCCTGAGGATACTGCACTCAAATTAACTTTCTCATGCTCTAAAGAACGCGAAGTCCCCAACTGCTAACTATCGAGGTCAATTCGTGTTAACAACGCCGTGTCTGCTCATCTAGGATAGTTCGCAGGGTGGTACACAGAAGTATTTTGTCACCACCGGTAATGGAAGTACCACGAAATGAACGAAGTGAACAAGTGAAATGAAATGCTGAAAAAAATGGAAAGAAAACAATGAAATAAATATCTTAGAAATCGAGTTTCATTAGACCTCGGTAGCAATAATCAATAATCTTCTCTATGATTGAACTGACACGTGGTTGCTCTAAAAACTTTGATCCAGTTAATTGGTTTTGGCGCTGATCCGAGTCAATAGTTCAAGGCAGGTTGCTGTAGCGATGTGAATGCGTTCGTGGTCGCATCGAGTTTAATGGAAGTTGGTTTTGAAGATTTTGTTTACTACGCTAGGGTGCAGCAAACGAAGTACCGATTGCTATACGACGCATTTCCCCTCCAAAGTAGATCGTGTTGGAAGCGGCAATCGATCAACACTCGTCCTGTATAAAAGAACACCGTTGAGTGAAGTGAACCCTTCGAGCAGTGTTCCCTCCAGTGGATTTTTCGTGCACTACGAACATCCACATCGCGGTAACGACCAGCTGTGGACCATCGACTCAGATCAAAGCGGCTCTGAGGGAGGCCAAGGCGCCGAAACGTTAGCAGAATAAAAGTTTTTCTACCAACCTTGTGTCAGCCCAATGATATAGAAAATTAGTGAAATAAATGCTTTCGGGAATCACAACGAGTTCAATCACGTTAAAGCTTTCTTCATGCCTTGGTTCAAATCTCTCCACTGAAATTTTGCAGATAAACGCTAACGACCTCAGATTCTTCAAATATAGGCATTAAAACAGTTCGGAATTAGCAACTAGGTAGTGAGCAGGAAAACATATGTCTCCCATATGGGGGAAAATTACTAAAGTTCCCAATTATTATGGGGAATCACAAGCCTAACAGTGATTGTAGCGGAATAAAGTTAAAGAGTGCGCGCAGAAGAACCAAATTGTTCCAACACTTGGTAGACTCAGTGAGTTTTGCACGAAACATTTTTTAAAATGTAGTTTAAACAAAGGTTATTTTAGTGCACTTGAGCAATTTGAGGGTTCTTCGCCATATCGCTAAATGGTTTAATATGAAGGGAATTCACTCCCCAGTTAATAACCAAATGGGACTAGTAAACAACAGAAAATTACTTACTGTAACATTCTAAAGTCGCGCAGAAACAACCTACAAATATGCCAACCCTATATAAGGCGCACTCGGCTAAACCCCGGGACCGTTATTAACTTCCTCTGCCTCTTCGATGCAAGGAAAAAATTTATAGCCTCCAGAAAGCTAGAATTATAGTCTGATACAACAAATGAATTTTCGTCTTGTAGGTAACTAGACATGTAAACAAAATTTAAATTTGTTAACCATCAGTTCGAATCAAACATAAGCTGAGAACTGTGCATTAGAATTTGAGGCTAAAATATCTTTTCGACAAAGCCTATATTCACTTGGTAAAGAAGGAAAAAATTTCCACTCCTTTAATACAATTTTCGTGAAGTCCGATCACCTCATTAATGATCCTTTCCCGCTCTTCACATACCGCGGAACCCAATCGCTAACGACTTACCTATTGGTTTTGGATGTCACTCTTGGGGCCGAACACTCTTCGAAACTCTCCTTGATCTTCTAGCTTCTCCTCTAAGGTCTAGCTCTGTCAACCTTAATGCATAAGACTCCAGTGAACAGCCTATAGACGACTAAACAGCAGGTAGATTCGGCCACAGTTCCCGGTGTTGTGTTGGCCCCAACTTTTGTGCAACAAAACGATTCAGTTAGTATTCCACTGAGCGAGACCTCACACTCGTTTCACTTTAACAAAACAGCATGGTGCACTTAAGAATAGAAAAAAGCTGTGTTGATCTTGTTGATTAACCGTCTTCCCTGGGGTGGTATGGAGACAAACAAATGTATCAGCTCACGAAGTGGGAGTAAAGGTCCTGCATGATCTTCTTCATTTGCCTTTCCGGATGAAATAACCACTCCGCTTGGTCGGTTACTAGGAGAGGGTCACCTTGAATTTGTGACTGAAGACTCTTCTCTTCATGAGATCTTCACATACCGTTGCTTTGCAGAAGTTCACAAGCTCGGATGTTAGCGGTGATTGACTCTAGGTTGGCGTATAAGCTCAAGAATTTCTGGGCAGTGATCCTCAAAATCTTCAGCTTGTTTAGGGTTACAACGACGGCATTGAATTCTGGATTCTTGTCATTTTTCTTAGCAATATTTGATAAATGCATCTCTCCGAAACCCAGCTAGAGAAACAATTCCAATTTATGATGGTTTGAGGATCGAATTTTTTCACTTTAGAAGGAACATTAACAAGTGTATAACAGTTGCATTCATTTTACCACTTCAGGGCAGCAGATAAGTTGGTTGGACAAGCCTTCAGACCGACTATTTTATAAAATTCTGCGGTAGATAAAACCAGTAAAAGAAATAAAATGTGCGAAATTTAAATATTACTCTTTAAATGATACCGCGATAGCTCGTAAACCTTCTAAATCGTCCCAGGTCTAATTGATCTCACAATTCCTTTCCTGGAATCTACAAGTTTTCGAAATTTTATGCAAACTTTTTAAAAAAAAAACTACTACCAAGTAACTATGAAAGTAAAATTGCTGGTTAAAAGCTACAACCTTCAGCTGTTCGATATACAGCTTCAGGACGGGGTTGAGGAGAAGGGAATCTCACTCTCTTATCTATAATAGTTAACCCGTACTGATTTGATGGCACTTCTCACCTCCATTCTCACTGGAACTGTTAAGAGATACTGCCTGCGATGCAATGAGCACAATGGATGCGAAAATAATGGCCGCTTGCAACTATAGAGCAACCTTTCAGTTCATACTCAATGTAAATCATTATAATAGAAACCACTCGAACGCATTTACTTTTGCCCATAAGGTTGAAGCTACTTTATTCTGGTAGATTGAAACCCTGCTTTTCAGGAGCCCACGACATGTTTCTCTCACATTTTTGCGACGACTCGCATTTCGAAAATGGAAGCAGCTAGACAAGCGGAATTTCTTCCAGCCGGACAAAACTACTTAAGTAATGTACTGTGTAGTTTTCAGCATTGCCGGTAGCGTTGTAAACTTTACAAATTTTTAAAAACTTCTCGACTTCGGGAGTTTTGCTCCTGAAAATATTTCGAAGTAAAAGAACGTTTTGTAAAAACCAAATACTCGAGTACCGAGTACTTCCTTCCAACTATTGGGTTTACAACACCTCAAATAACTAACGATCTAAATGATCGAGCAACTAATGACTGAAAATTCATCGTCTATTGTCGAAAAACCAGCTCTCGGCATTACGTGTTAAAACTATACAGGCGTTTTGTTTGTGAAACGCCAGAACAACGACTGGGCTAGGCTCCGCCAAAACCGTACAAGCTACAGCTACATTTTTCGTCCCTAACAATTCAAAAAGCAACAACAAAAACTAAAACACTTTGTGAATCAATCCGAACGTGGTATGGAAATTTGACATGAAAGACTAACTTCGAGTTGTTTCTATTATAATGATTTACATTGAGTAAGAACTCAAAGCTCATCTAATGTCATTTTATGAGCTATCCCGCCGCTTGTGTGTTCGAAGAATAAGCCCTACTTATTCACATTGTCATACATATATCACACGTAACAAAACACGATCAGCGGAAGTAAGACTTCTCAACGGATTGAGCTGTCTCAACAATGTCCAAACCAATAAAAAAGTTTTATATACATAAATTCTGCTGGGAATACGTTTTCTATTGCCCTGGAAATCTAAAAAAACGTTTAGCGTCACTCAGTCTTTCAGAGATGCTTCGCACTCGACTTCACTAGAAATTTTAATTCTGGTGAACGTGTAGCGCAATGGTCACAGGTGCTCTGCTATAGATAAACAGTCGTTAGTTTCTTACTGCGTCCAGATCAAACCAAGACCCACCCCTCCTGGATCCGCCAACCGGTACCACATTTCTCTGGAAGAACAAAAGCAGACTTGATACAACCGACAGTTACAGAGGCCGAAGATGCATTCAGTCATTTTTCCACAGCCCATTAGACTGGAATGTGCGACGAATCCCTAGTGTGGGTTAAGCAACGAAATTTGCACCAGCAGACCATTATTATCTTGTAACAGAAACACGGAGCATCATCGAAGCGCTTAGTGATTTAGAAAGAAGGATATGGCAAAGAATAAATAGAAAAGAAATCCGGTTCATGAAGAACTTTCGGTTTGTGAGGAGACAGGTAGAAATAGACAGTCGTCGAGAGCACACAGCAATATAAATATCTAGAATATTGCTGTGGCAAAGATCGATAGAAATAGCTGAGAGACAGGCGAAACGAAGGACCTGCATGGTGTGGTGGTGAACGCGTTACTCGGCGGAAAGGACAATAGCGCGTTCGTTCCCCACCATAGACACCTACGGTCCAGAGTTTTGCAAATATCTCAGCAACGTTGTGGTTGTATCTAGAATATCTGTAAAACAAGTGGACTGTTTCGACGCGGAGCGAAGTAAGACAGCCGGGAAAACTCAAGATTATTAGGTGCGCCTAACGTCAAGAGGTATTCCTTCAGCAGAAACAACGACAAATCATTTCCTCTAGCAGGATGCAATGTCCTCCGAACGGTTTACCGCTTTATCGTAGCTGGAAGGTGTTCTTGGGTGTTGGGCTGTGATGTACAGCTGGGGATTCATCCCCTGCGACGGTCTCCTAAGCTGAGTCCGGTGTTTCCACTAGGAAGCCCAGCTAAAGGCAAACCGATACTAGGACTCCTCACTGTTCTGGTACTAAACTAGGCACATGGTAGCAAATCTCCCTCTGAACCACAAAGGCTGTGACTGGCGGGCCGTCCAAGTATCCAAGTAAGTAAGTAGGAATGAAATGTAGAAGCCACTGGAGTTCACTAAAATCATTTCATGACCAAAAGGACGATAAGGTAATGAAGATGATAATACTCCCAGTGAGGTAATATAAGCAAACGACTACTAAGTTTAACAGTGAGTAATTCGTCTTATGGATACATCAGATGGCCTCTTTTAATCCGCAACCGAATACGTCACAAAAACAAGCGGTTTTTTGGTTTTGAAAGAAGGCACGGTAGCGACATCAACTTCCGCGCCAGAAATTGCACGCTAGATCCAAATTTTATAAAATATAATGGTGAGTTTTGTGTTCTTAGGAAGAATATTTGCATAACTTACAAAGCACTGACGGAGACCAAAACAACTATTCATCACAAGTTCTGATGAATAACAACAGCAGTAAACCAGAAGACACTTCTATGCGCATAAAACTATTTCGATGACATAGATCATTACCTTTTCTCCAAAAAAGACGTTACAGATGAAATAGAAAATATCAAAAAGGAAAAAATCACACGAAAATTTGAGCAATGTGAGAGGTCTGGATTTTACAGGGAAGCGTCCCAACTACCCTACTATCCTTAAAGATGACTTTTAACCTAAACTATTAAGGAATATACACGCACAAATTAATCATTGATTTCAAAAACCTGTGCCAGAAATGCCCTACGTCCTCTCACACATCATACAAGCATAGAATGAATAGTTTCGATACTCGGTTCCTTCCACACCGACAATATTCAACTACGAGGGCGAATAAACCTTTAAGTAACGTCTATTTTCCCCCTTAAAAAAGTACCGTGTTTTTGATACAAATAAGCCTCATTATTCATTATGAGGCCACAATCAACAGCAGACGAAGATGAAAGATGGTAGTTTTCTTAGGAAATAAGCAATAATTTTTGTAGGTGTCATTCAATTGCTAAATTAACATCGCTGTCTTCTAACCATGTGCAGGGAAATACATTTCCTACCAACCATCTGAGATTACACAAAAACCGGCTGCGAAATGCTGTCAGCTGAGGTCAACCTTATTTCCAATAAAAATGAAAGAAGTCAACAATGTGCATTCTCTAGTATATACAACAAGCGAAATTATAATAACACAGAGTTGTACGGCCTATCAAAATTTGTATGGTTAGAAGCACTGGAAACAATTGACATTATATCAAGTCGCTTATTATCGATCTTGAGGATACCAATAGTGATACGAATTTCAATTTAGGACGATTTATTTTTCTATCTGAATTTTATATCAGCAGTTGGTTCGAAGAAAATATGCTCATAGGCATTCTCTGATTAACTGATGACTTAAAGGAATTTATAAATGATGTCTACGTACTGAAATAATCCCAGAGGAATCGCGTGCGGCTACGTTTTCTCAGGTCTTCACCACAGGCGGTAGTTATCGAAGGTGGATTGAAGGCAGCTCTTCAACAAATAACTAACTACCCTAATGGGATTAAATGGTCTCCTTGGCCTGAGGAGCTATGAAGATAGTGGATATGTCGTGTTTAACACGGCATCTTTAACATTCGCGTTTTCTACGCCCGTTATGCATACTAATTATATTGGCCATCCTTCTCAAAGCGCGGTGGAAAAAACCAAACGATCAAAGAATAATGTCTTGTGCCGCGAACTTGAACTGTACACGAAATTACACACAACTGCTTATAACAATAAAGGTATCTGGTCAACAAAAAATTCCAGTGGCGAACTAATCGTCGAAAGAACACATTCCTTAGGCGTTTCCGCAAGTATAAATCGCTATAAAGTAAACTACTCGTCTTAGGAAAAGTTTTCTCTAGAGTACAAGCAAGTTTTAATTACATAGTAACACCAGTGCCTAGAAAACAATTTAGATAAGAACTCATTAGCACGACACTCTAAGAGATACTACTGATGACATTAACCCAGAAGAAGTTTCAGAACACCACATTAGCGCTGGAGAGTCATCGGAAAGGATAATTTCAGAAAAAATGAACTTTTGTCAACGAAAACTTTTACTAGGAAATGTGGTTGTTTTCACTGCTTAATAAAGACTGATGTTCTAAATCTTAACCAACATGTTTATATTCACATATTTTGACCTTGTCCAGCCCTTATTATAAGACGAGGCGATAAAAAGTTCGGCGTTTATCAATGCTCGGGGAATGTGCAATGCATTCGATTTCATCAAGCATCCTAGAGATGACTGAATTCATCTGGCCTATATCACTCGTGGTGGACCCTATCGACGTACTACGTCAGCGCTGCTATCCTCGCGGACAAGTCTTACAGTAATCTGCTTACTCCGAAAGGGCAGAATGCTAGGTTACCCAAGACTGCAAGACCAAACCAACGACCAATCCTGTGTTTATTCCACGGCATCTCAATCCACTGCGCTATTAGCACCCCTATTCCTTATCACTTGCTTCAAAACAAGCAGTTATGCGTTTTTGTTCGCCAACTGTCAAACTATTTCTCAGTAAAATCGACGTGACGTGGTTCTTTGTGTTTTCATTTCGTTAGTCCATGTTGCATTCCTCAATACTACAAGTACACAAATCTAAAAAGTGTACGAAAACGAAACACTCCAAGTTTTAGTCATCCTGATGCGTTCATATGAAGGGAGAAGCAGTGTTTATTAAGAATAGATTCGACCTCAGGCTACTTCCAGAGGTGCCACAGCAGTCTGTGCTTTGCAGTAAAACTCGATCGCTCCATGAAATAGATCGATACTGTTTGTTATGGCTTGTTTTTTCATCTATTCGTTGATGAATCGAACTATGTCAATCACACTCAAACGATTCAACAAACAAATGACGTTCAATGACGCTCTGCAGACGCCCACAAATTCTGCCTAGATATTTAGAGCCTACTTTTACTCGTCAACTCATTAGATCGACTCATAAAATTGAAAGAAAAAAAACAAAATGAGGAATACTGGTAAGAAAATAAACAGTGATCTCAAATTCAGATCAGAAAAAAACAAGAATAAGAACTTACTTTGCCAGCGCAATGCGTTCCTGAGCCGTCATCTTTTCGATTTCTGGCATTTCTGCCATCAGCTGGCTGTGATCCATGATGAAAATTGGGCGAATACGATTCTCGGCTTTTTTCCTCACTAACACGGATTTCAGAAAATGACGCTACACTGCTGACGGTAGAGAATAAGTAGCAAATGGTCGTTCGAACGTAAAGGCACGCGTAATGGCCGCGTCGTGACTTCTCACTTGAATGACATCACGAAAGCGCCTAAAACAAAAACAGAATTCGGATTTTTGTCTAGAATGAACAAAATCCATCAGACAGCGTGAAGTGTTAGGGGAAAAAAGAATCAGAGAAACTATGCATATCCGGAGAATACTATGAGTCAAGACATAATCAGACAACACAGAATCAAATCATATTCACTAAGATAAAACGAATAAGTAAATCGAGGAGTTATTCAATTTCCAGTAATCTTCCTGTTCACTTTGATATCTAAACGCACATAGTATTTGGATAGCTGTATGGACCGTCCCCAGTGGTTGTGCGGGCACCAGCATAGTCTCCATTTTTTCGGAGTTTCGCTGATTTGGCCACTGTGGTTTTCTGGAGACTCGAAGTAAGCCAGGACAAAGTCTGCCCCAGCTCGTCATCACCACAGGCAGTCGCCACTTTTAGATTGGAGATTTGCCACCATGCTACCAGTTTGGTACAAGGACGGTGACGGGTTGCAGTATTGGTTTACACTTGGCTGGACTTCCTGATGGAAACTCCGGACACCTTCTCAGCTTGGGAGCCCCTGCCAGAGTGATGAATCCCCCGCTGTAGATCCCAACAAGACACCCAGGAACACCCCCCAGCCACGATGAAGTGGTAAGCCATTGGGAGGAACGTATATAGTACTTCAATCATTCTTAACAAATCAAGTAACACTTTTTTTGAAGCGAAGGAAGACCCAGTATTATGCAAAGATCACACAACTATAGTACAAAACCTGGAATGCACCAAATCGCAAATTTGAACTTGACCAAATATATGACATGATGGAACAAATTTCAACATACAGTAAACAACAATGCTAAATTTAAATAACAACAAATTCAAACCATAAAACCTTTAAAATCAACTGAATAGAAGCGTATCTGTTAGGGGAACTCCAACTGTACAACGGAGTTGGGGGCTCTGATCTAGAAGCGGGCTTGTGTCAGTGCACGTGATCGTAGTAGAGTCCGTACACTGGAACACCCGTTCCTGTGAACAGCTGTGAACTGATTTTCTCAGCTCAGCATATCTCCGTTCACTCGTGGTAAAAAACGTCGTGAATTATACAAGTTGAGTTCGATGAGAGATTCAGCTTAGAAAGACAGATTAGTCGACGTATCGATCAGTAAAACTGTATTCGTAAGTGTCACTAAATTACTTTGGAAAAAAAAAGATGAATAGAACATTTCGATATTTGTGACTTTCGACCCACCCTTCTTATAGAAATTCCGATAAAAATTCGAAGCAGAGGAACGCGAGCTACAAAAGCAAACTGACTAAAGTACACCTTGAGCGAACTGGGATTTTCATGAATCTACACAAATGAGACGGAAAAACGGAAACGTTCCTTTTTGATACATAGTGACTTGACATTGAAACACAATTAAAACAGTTCGGATTTAACAAACGAGCTAGAATTCAGAGCATTGAGAACAGCAAGTAAATACGCAAATCTAAAGAGAATTCATCAAAAATAAGAGGATAAAATTGCAGTTCCCAGGATCAACTTTCTATTAACCTTGGCATTGGATTATAAATCTGTTCTATGTGTACGGACGTAAACGTGTGCTGAATAACAACCTCGCGATTGCTGAAAAAGAAAACAACGCAGTTAAAATTGCAATTTGAAAAGTTCACCCAACGGTTTGCCGCCTCATTATGGCCGGGAGGTGCCCCTAGGGTATCGGACTGCGATATACAGCAGTGGGATTCGTCCCCCCGGTAAGGTCCCCCAAGCTGAGAAGGAGTCCGGCGTTTCCATCAGTAACCCTAGTTGAGAGTAAACCAATACCAGGATCCACCACTTGGTATCAAAGTCGCATAGTGGTAAATCTCCCTCTGATCCACAAGGGCTGCGGCTGCCTGGGGTGGTGACGACCTGGGGCAGACTTTGACCAGGCTGACCTCGAGACTTCAGAGAAGCACAATGGCAATACCAGCCAAATTTCAAACGAGTAAAATTTATACTGGGACCCGCACAACCAGTGAAGACATGCCATTCAAGTATCCAAGTATTTGGAAAGGTTCTTTTCAGTGCAGATTATTGTATGATAGCTTGGAAAGCACAACTAAACAGGATGCCGTAGAAAAACACTACTTGATACCTTTCTATTTACCACACAAACTATTTAAGTTTGAATGCCAACAGTTATATTACTCAAACACCCAAAGTTGACAAATGCAATATTCGAAATGGATCTCTTAATAAGTTCCCAGGATCGACTTTCTATTAACCTCGGCATTGGAATATGAATGCGTCGATTTCTTGTTCAGCAATCGCGAGGTTTTTAAACAGCATACATTTACTTCCATAGAAAAACACAATACAATACAACACTAGCTGACGTTTCGGCAGTATCGCCTTCTTCAGAGCCGCTTTTTCGTGACTTCCAATGAAGAAGTTTGGAACAGTGTTTTTTGTAAAACTCTGGACCACAGGTGTCTATGGTGGGGAACGAACGCGCTATTGTCCTTTCCGGGGAGTAACGCGTTCACCACCACACCATGCGGGTCCTTTGTTTCGCCTTACTCTCAGCTATTTCTATCGATCTTTACCACTCAATACCGCTGACGGGTGATTGTTGTGGCAAAGATCGATAGAAATAGCTGAGAGACAGGCGAAACAAAGGACCCGCATGGTGTGGTGGTGAACGCGCTACTCCCCGGAAAGGATAATAGCGCGTTCGTTCCCCACCATAGACACCTGCGGTCCAGAGTTTTGCAAATATCTTAGTAACGTTGTGGTTGTATTTCGCTTAGTACCCTGCCGCTTAATTATAGTAGGCAGAAAATAAAAAGGTATAACATAGTGTTTTTGTGTTTTTTTGTGTTTTGTGTGTGTGTGTTTTTTTATTTATGGAAGTAAATGTATGCTGTTTAAAAACCTCGCGATTGCTGAACAAGAAAACGACACATTCTCTTAATAAGATCACTTCCTCCTTAAATATAGATTGAAGCACTACCTAAGTCGAACTTTGTTCTAAAAAAAAAGAAACTGACACGGTGACCAGGATTGTACTATCGGGAAGAATCAGATAGTTCACATAAAACCCAAATCCTTTGGAAGAATAACAGCACAGAAACGATACGTAAGAACGATAGCGTCTCAAAAATAGGACTGCAAAGTTCAAGTTGATATTTTGATAATAAATCAGAACCTCAACAAAATCGATATCACGGAAAATCACTAATATGCATGAAATCGCCGTATATCGTCACTCGCGAAGCGTCAAACAATGAACGGAGCTTCAATGCCACAGTTTCATCCAGGACACTTGTGAATGACATAGCCAACGTATTTTACGTAGTACAAAGCCAATGATGAATTGAAAGGGCAGAAATAGCGAAATATCAAACAAACGCGATAAACTTCCCTGGGATTTACAATTCTGACCGTATTGCTACCATACGAAAAGCACTATATATTATAATAGAAGAACGTACTACACAAATGGCGCACAAGATCTGGCAACGATACTTGTGGGAATAAGACAAAGACGTGTTCCTTACAGCAAATGTTGAGACGAAAGAAATCTCAGAACAAAAACCAAAGAAGATAATCTACGAGATTTATGAGGAAAGAGATGAGAACGAACGATGATTATTTGCCAAACGACTATGCCATGTAGCAATCCCTAAGCCTGACTTTCTATTAACCTCAACGTTGATTAATAATTCAGTTTTTCTTAACTGCCTGGTATTTGCTCATTGAAGAAAAACAGTGACTATGACATGCTTAAAGACTAATCTTGTACGATCTGCTACCCATTCGACGATGTGTAATCGATAACATATGAGAACGACATCGATCATCGATTGACTTAACAGCGGGGTGCTGTGCTGAGAATGGCGACAGGTGGGCGGGCAATGATAAGAGGTGACGGAGATCAATCGATGATTAGACGGTGATATTGGAGAAGATGGGGTCTTCACTGTCGATGGACAGATGGAAAATCTGATTGCAAATTAGCCGTTCCAGTTATTCTAATATTCTACATGGGTTTTCAGCAATAAAGCGTAAAAGCTAAAGCGTACGGAGTAGAAGCATTCCTGGAGGAAACCCAATGCATTCGACAACATTGAGCTTTGTTAGAGGTGACTGAATGCATATTTGGCCTACAGAATAATTAGCGGTGCCTACCGATGGATCAGGTCAGTGATGTTATCCTCCCAAACATATCCGCCAACAATTTTCCGACCCCAGAGGGATGGAAGACTTGGTGAACTCGAAGCACTGGACCGAACCAACGATCACGCGTGTATTTTAGAGCACGTCTAACGATTATGCTACACTCGCCGCACAAGTTTTTCTTGATACGATGTGCAAACGACGTTATTAACTAATCACCAACAAATGCTCATAAAGCGATCGCTAAGAAGATGTTAGCAATAGCGAACACAAGAATTAATCACTATAATGAACTAGAAAAAAACAAAAAATAAAAAAATAAAAAATAAACAAAGAAAAAAATAGAGCGACATCAAAAAGATGGAGAAATGCTTAACATCCGTGTACTCACTGAGAACACACACATGGGGTGCTAATAATTACAGCTTTTTTCTTCGATTTCAAAATTTAAATCACTCGCAGAGAGAGCAAACAACCGGAAAACACTAGGGTCGAAGTGTAATTTGATTCCATTCCTCAAAAATTACAACGACGTATAGGTTGTGGTAACCCTGTACTAACAAAAGGCTCAGTTAAAGATTGAAAAAACAATGCGACCGCAGTGAAAGCGTAGATTATAGTTGAATGTCGCAGAGTCAATCAGTAACTGGAGTGACCATGAAGCAAAAGACGTAATCCGTATTTATGATTGGTGGTAAAAAGAAA